TTTTTTTACGCTCCATACATAACATACACATTTAGTCATAATTTTTTTCCAGAACCATTACTATCTTGGCTGACCAATTTAAAGCTCAAATAAAAAAAAATTCAGGGTTTGAATCCTCCTAATACAAATATTAGTAGGTGTTCTCACTTTATAATGCTATCTTTTGAAATAAGAGTAACATAAATCACTTACAAGATCTAGAGTCTTTTCATAATGTCTGAGCCAACTTGAACGTCCTTCAACTTTACTATCACAACATTAGGGTCGAATTCTGCACACTTAAAAGTCATAATAGATTTACAACTTTGAAGGTCCGAAATTGGGCATCAACAATTGTCCCTAATTTTACTTGGATTGATGCAAGAAATTCTAGTAAAATAGAATTGATCAATCAAATTTTGGATCGACCACATATTCATCCTTTGGAAGGGGGATTTTGTACGGACATTAGAAAGTATGGCCGAACTCCGGAAATGGGTTTCCTACATATCTTAGGCTGTATGAGAATTCAGGACACGTGTAGTTCGTTAAACTTTATTTGACGCACGATTCTGAAATAATTCAAAAAGTCATCCCGATATCAAATTAGAAAGGGACCGAAATGCTTGAGAATAAGATTTGAGAGAGAATATTGGAATACAACCGAGTTTTTGACATTGACCTCACCTATATATCCTTTATACCTTAGGAATCAGGCTGTTTGTAGTTCAACTCAATCAGTTGAAAAGAAAATCTGCAAGATAACCTTTGGTTCTGGATAAGTGACAAATAGATCGAACATGAAAAAGAAAATTGTAATATCTTAGCCATAAATGTAGTAAATTGACACCCATAATTAAGAATTTACACGGACATAATTTCCAAAGCTCTTGGTGAATTATCACTCGGATTGAAAAATATCTTCCGGTAGATACCAAAATTTCCGGATGCGAGACCGAACCAAGGAATCTAAGAAAAACAAACATGCCTTCTGATAGGGGTGTGGTTCAATTGTGGTGGAAGTCTCTCTTCTGCTCGCTTCCTAAGAGTTTGACACTCCTCTTTGGACTATGTCTCAGTTTGCTGCTAAGAAAAGTTCCACATTGTGTTGCATCCATGTTGATGTCGTCTGCACCAGTGGTTTTTTTATGGAGAATTCATCCTTCTGGATGTTCTCGACTAAGACAGAGATAAAACTCATTAGCATAAAAATGCAATTGATATCAGAGGTAGTGTCTTTTACTGTGTTGACACTTAGTTGTTCTCCTTCAATATTTAATGTCAACTTGATCGGTTTGACGTAAAGCAAATAAAGCTTATGTGATTATGATTGCAATATAATTTTCAATGTATTCTTCATTTGATGTCAACATAAATGAAGTTGATGAAGTGCTAATGCTTTTTTTGATGTCGTCTTCGATGCTATTCTTGATGTTTACTTTTATCAAAATAAAAGAATGCAGTTGATGTCGATGGGTAAATATTTCTCTTGAGATACACGAATTCCTTCTCCGGCAGTGCATGATTTCATGTGGCGCATGAATATCTTCCCGTGATGCATGATTTCTTGTGGGGTATGAATATCCTCCCGCGATGTATAAATTTCTGCGAGGCATGAATATCTTATTGCAAAGCACAATTTTCTGCGAGGCATGAATATCTTCTCGCGATGCATAAATTTCTATGAGACATGAATAACATCTCGCGACGTATGAATATTAACTCGTGATGCATGAGTATTAAGTCACAATGCATGAATATTGACTCGCGATGCATGATCTTCCAAGATGCATGAATATTAACTCGCGATGCATGATCTTCCGCGGTGCATTAATATTGACTCGAAATGCATGATCTTCCGTGATGCATGAATATTGACTCCCGATGCATGATCTTTCGCGATGCATGAATATTGACTCGCGATGCATGCTATTCCACGATGCATGAATATTGACTCGCGATGCATGATCTTCCGCGAAGCATGAATATTGACTCGCGATTCATGCTCTTCCGCAATGCATGAATATTGAATCGCGATGCATGATCTTTTGAGATGCATGAATATTGACTCGCGATGCATTATCTTCAGCGATGCATGTATATCAACTCGTGATGCATGCTCTTCCGTGATGCATGAATATTTACTTGTGATGCATGATCTTCTGCGATGCATGAATATTGACTTGCGATGTTTGAGTATTAACTCGCGATGCATGAATATTGACTTGCGATGCATGATCTTTCGTGATGCATGAATATTGACTTACGATGCATGATTATTAACTCGCGATGCATGAATATTGACTCGCGATGCATGACTATTGACTCTTGATGTCATCCTTGGTACCAAATGAAGATAGTGCTTCAATCGAGCAACATAGTGATATTCTGGGTGCCTTGTGGATAATCATATAATCTCAATTGACCATAACGGTAAAAGACTCTCCTGATAGTGTATCGTCCTGATCAACAATAACATAAAATGACCCCTCATGGGTAGTGTATTATTTTGATCGACAATAAAATAAATGACCCCTCTAGGTTGTGCATTATCTTGATCGATAATAAAATAAATTACCCCTTTGGGTAGCGCGTTGTCTTGATTCACAATAAAATAAATGACCCCTTCGGGTAGAGTATTGTTTTGATTGACAATGAAATAAATGACCCCTTCACGTAGTAGTAATATTATATCTGATATTATTATGCAGATGACGTCCTTTACGGAAACTGTGAACTCTTTCTTGAGATTTTTCACTCGATTCATCTTTGAATCTTGCTGGACATTCTTTAGGCTTCATGTTGTTGAAAATTGACTGAAATAAACCATCTGTATACCCAAGCACTTGGTATAAGAAATATAAAATAATTACTGCATCTATAGCAACACCACTAATTTTGGGAGAGATTTCTCGTCCCTTGACTTCCCCATACTTATTGATCGGAGTAATTCGCTGATTTCAGAGAAAATCTATAAACCTGCGTCCACAGAAAAATTGTTAGTTTAAAATGAATTGATATGTGTCGGTTTCTTCAGTTGTCTGCTGCTTGTCCTGCTATCTATGGTTGATTTTCTAATCCCTCCACCCTTGATAGATAAGACAAAATACTTTATTCCAAAACAAATGAAACACAAAATGGAAAATTTAAGAAAAAATAAAATTTTTGAGAAATAGTATTTGAAAAAGGTCACTGCCAAGTCATGTCACGTCAGGCTTAGCAAACTTCCTTGACTCTGATTCTTGGAGGTATATCTGATTATGCGATGGGGAGTATTCCAAGTCACTCCATACTTTTGATGAACCCAAGTTGAAATTTTGAGGCTGTCCTCAAAATTTTTCTGTCCCTGTTATAAGTTCGGCTTCTCTTCAAGTGTTGAAAAGTAAATCATGGATTTTCGTGATCTTCTCGAAAATTTTGTCCAGTTGCAAATTTTGAAGTATCTTCAGTCTTGACTTGCTGAGGACAAATCTTCTTTTTGAGAATTTTTGAGTCCCCCTCAAAAATTCTATCCCAGTTTCTATTTTAAAGAAAAATAAAAATCTTATGGGAGATATGACCGAACCCTCTTGGTGCCTACGTATCCCGTTGAGGCAGGAATCAGGTGAAGCGTAGTTCCTCCTTAAAGTTAAAAATAATAAGAAATTTTACAAAGAAACCGACCGAGGCCGACATAGGCCGCCTACGTATCTCATTCTTGAGAATTCAGGTCGAACATAGTCCACATACAAAGATATATTAAAGGGGATAAAAGGAGTGACCAAAGCCAACATAGGCCGCCTACGTATCTCATTCGTGAGAATTCAGGTTAGACGTAGTTCATTCCAAAAGGAATATAACTTTAAACGAAACAATTACAAAGAAATCACGTAAATGCAAACCGAAGCTTCACGCATGCATCTTTTGATAGTATCTGAGTTGATCGTTTTTGGCCATCCGGTGCCATTCATCTCCGACATGACCAAAGCACCTCCAGACAATACTTTATGAACCATGTAAGGACATTGCCAATTTGGGGCAAATTTTCCTTTGTACTCGTCTTGATGAGGAAAAATGTGCTTAAGTGTACCAACTACTGATTTCAAAAATTCTATCTCTGACTCTCTTGTGGAAAGCTTGAATCATTCTCTGTCGATACAGTTGACCATGAAAAATAATAATCATTCTCCTCTCATCAATAAAAGTTAGTTGATAGATCTTCTTGGTGACCCATTCAACATTACTTAACTCAGCTTCATGGATAATTCTCAAAGACGGTATTTAAACTTCAACAGGTATGACTTCTTCTGTTCTATATACTAGCAAGTAAGGAGTGGCCCCAACCGATGTTATGACAGTCGTGCAGTACCCCAACAAAGCATATGTTAACATCTCATGCCAACCTCGATGACTGTCGAAAATTTTCCTCAAAATCTTCTTGATGTTCTTATTGGCGGCCTCTACAACTCCATTCATTTAAGGATGTTAAGCGGTTGGGTTTAAGTGAGTAATCTTAAATCTCTCACATATCTCTCTCATCAAGTGACTGTTGAGATTTGCACCATTACAATTAATGATGGATTCTGGCACTCCAAATCTGCATATCAGATTATTGCGAACAAAATCAACCACAACTTTCTTGGTTACCGACTTGTAAGAAGATGCTTCCACCCACTTGGTGAACCAATCAATGACAACTAAAATAAATCTGTTTCCATTAGAAGCGGATGGCTTTGTCGGACCGATGACATCCATACCCAAAGCTACAAATGGCTAAGGTAAACTCACAACATTAATTTTGTTAGGCGACACTCGGCTTTAATCACTGTGCACTTGACATTTATGACATTTCTACACAAACTTGCAACAGTAATTCTCTATAGTCATCCAGAAATAACCAGCTCGCAAGATCTTCCTTGCCAAAGTTAGTCCATTCATATGGGTGCCGCATACTCCAGTATGTATCTGTTCAATAAGCTTCGCGACTCAACAACATCTACTCATCTGAGGAGACCTAAATCTGCAGTCCTCATATACAGGATTTATCCACTTAGAAAGAGATTGAGAGTCATACAACGTATAGACTTCTTCTGGTTGGACGTAACATCTTCAGGATAAATTCTGGACTCTAAATACTTCTTTATATTGAAATACCATGTCAAACAGTCTAGTTCTGCTTCAATATGTGAATAATTAAATGGATTTTCTTTCAGTTCTATATCCAGAGGATCAATATAATCAGTATGTGGATGTTTAATCATTGAAGAGAGGGTGGCAAACGCATCAACCAACTCATTTTGTATTCTAAGAGTATGTCTGAACTCGATCTTACGAAATCTCTTGCACAACTTCTGTACATACTGCACGTAAGGTATGATCTTTGGGTTCATCACAGCCCATTCTCCTTGAACCTGATGAATCAACAGATCTGAATCTCCGAAAACCAGTAGCTCATTGACATTCATGTCAATGGCTATTCTCAAACCAAGAATACAAGCTTCATACTCATCTATGTTGTTCGTGCAATTAAATCTGAGCTTAGCTTCCATGGGATAGTGTTGACCAGATTTTGACACTAAGACCATTGCGATACCTTTTCCTTGATGATTTGCTGCTCCATCAAAGAATAATCTCTAGCCAGGATACATTTCAGATATATATTTACCCACAAATGATACTTCTTCATCATGGAAATAAGTGTTGAGCGGTTCATATTCTTCATCAACAGGATTTTTCTTCAAGATAATCAGCCAAGGCATGTGCTTTTATCGCCTTTTAAGTCACATACACAATATCAAATTCACTCAACCACATTTTCCACTTAGCTAATTTTCACCTTGGCATCGCCTTTTGGATAATATACTTCAGTAGGTCCATTCTTGAAATAAGATATGTTGTTTAAGAAGACAAATAATGCCTTAAATTTTGAGCAATCCAAGTCAAAGAACAACAGGTTCTCTCCAAAAGAGTATAAGGAGACTTATATGGCTTGAACTTCTTTCTTATATAATATATGGCTAACTCCTTCTTCCCTGTTTTGTCATGTTGCCCAAGCACTCATCCGAATGCGTTATCTGAGATGGACAAATACAGTAACAAAGGACTCCCTTCTTGCGGAGGTACAAACATAGATGGATTGGACAAATAGTTATTATTGCTTCAAAAGCAATCTGAAACTCTTCAGTCCACTTTGTCAAATCATCTTTTTTCAACAACTTGAAGATAGACTCACACACCATAGTTAATTGGGATATGAATTTACTGATGTAGTTTAACTTGCCCAAGAAACTCATCACTTCCTTCTTATTCTTTAGAGGAGGTAACTCTTGAATCTCCTTAATCTTGGAAGGTTCAAGCTCAATGCCCCTTCTGCTGACTACAAATCCGAATAATTTACCGGCAGGAACTCCAAAGGCATATTTGGCGGGATTTAACTTTTAAGTTATACCAATGCAGAAGGTCAAAAAACTTCTTCAAGTGTGTCAAGTGGTCCAAACTCTCGCGGGACTTTATTAATGACGTCATCTACATACACCTCGATCTCCTTATGAATCATATCGTGAAATGTGGTTGTCATAGCCCTCATATAGGTAGAACCAACATTCTTGAGGCCAAGTGGCATCACCCTGTATTAATATATACCCCCAAGGTGTAATTAAAGCTGTCTTTTCTTCATCTTCTTCGTCCATCAGAATCTGATGATAACCTGCATATTAATCCACAAATGACTGCATTTCATGTTTAGAAGCTATCGATCACAATTTTAATATTCGGCAATGGAAAATTATCCTTAGGGATGGCTTTGTTGAGATCCCCGTAGTTGACACAAATTTTGATCTTGCCATCTTTTTTGGCGATCGGAACAACATTAGCCAATTATTTCGGTTATTACGTCACTTCCACTAGTCAAGACTCGATCTGCTTGGTGATATCCTCTTTGATCTTCAAACTCAATTCAGGCTTGAACTTTCGAGCCTTCTACTTCACCAAACTGAACCCTGGATTAATCAGCAATTTGTGAGACACAACATTGCTACTCAACCCTAACATGTCGCTGATTTCCCAGACGAACACATCAATGGACTCGGTGAGTAAACGAATCAGTACATATCTTTGATCTTCATTGAAGTGAACTTTGATTTTGACCTTTTGACACACTCTTGGTCTCCCAGATTTACAGTTTCAGTTTCCTCTAAATTCGGCTTATGCTGATTTTCAAACTGTAGAAACTCTTCAGCAACATATTCTTGTGCCTCATTTTCCTCTTTGTATTCATCATCCTCGCTATTGCCTGCCTCATTTTGTTCTTTCAGCTTGTGACATGACATGACATTGGCAGGTTCAAAATTAATATTACTGAAACTATAAATAGACAAAGTTAGAAAACTAAAGTATAGCAGATGAGTAACTAAATAAATTTTCAAATAAAAGAGGCTTTCATTAAAATTGGAAAATATGCAAGCTTTGTCTATGGCAAAGGGCCATGTTGCCTTTTCAAAGCTCATGGGGGAATTTTAAAATTCAAGGAATTAAGAAAATGCAAATTGTGGGTTTCGGGCCTCCTCTGAACCTCCACCAATTTAAATATGCATATATGATTCCTTTCTACCAAGGAGTTTGAGGAATCAATTTTGGCGTGGAGGTCCAATTTTGCAGCATCTCCATGGGCTCAACATTGCGGATTCCTATCAGCTCGACCTCTTCTTTTATGACAATATCAATCTCCTAAAAAAGGTCACATATTCCTTCCTCGAGGACATCACGATCGACATACTCCCCGACTAGAAATGATTGATACAGATGTCGGATCGTCTTAGTCAATGAGTGATCACTGCTCTTCTTCATCTTCACATCATCATTTGTGGGGATGTACCCCAAACCATATCTACCTCCTTTGACTGGGACTGAAATAGGCTCGATAATTCCTTGGGAATTTTGTCCCTAAACCTGGTTCAAAACCATTCAACAGTATCACAGTGGCTATCATCCTGTTCACAACAGGCATGTGAGTCTGTGGGGCGAAGTCCTCACTAGTGGCATTTACCAGCAACATCGTGTAGAAATCTATACCTCGCGATACCTCATCAACAATTGGCGCCTGTCTGCAGGAGTGACTCCCTTCACCCTGAATAACAACGTTTCGTTATTCCAAATAAGTTTCATCATCGGATGTAGAATAGAAGGCACAGTTCAAGCCATATGGATGAAAGGCCTTCCCAAAATGAGGTTATAGTTCGTGTCGATATCCAAGACTTGAAAATGCGTGCTGAATTCTATCGGATCCATTTGGATGATAAGATTCATTGCTCCCAATGTATTTCTCTAAACCCCATCAAAGGCTCTTACATTGACTTGGTTTTTTTTTACCTTTCCCAAGTCAAAATGTAACTGTCTTAATTTTGACACTTGAAAAATGCTCAGACTGGATCCATCATCCACCAAGACATGATTAATGACCTTCTCGCGGCATACGATAGTGATGTTAACGCCTTGTTGTGTGACCTCTCCTCAAAAGGCAAGTCGTCGTTGCAAAAGCTAATCCGATGCCCTCAGATAACTTGATTAATAATAGCGGCCACATTATCGGTGCTTGTGCTGACGGGCACATAAGTATCATTAAGAACCTTCATCAAGGCCTGTCTATGTAATTGGGAGCTCATCAGCAGGGCCCACAATGAAATCTGATATGGAGTTTTCTCCAAATGCTTAACAATCGAATAATCCTTTGGCTACATCTTTCTCCAGAATTCCTTAGCTTCGTCCTCACTTATCAGCCTTTTCCCTTGATCCTTATTCTTTCCTCCGGAAGCCAACTCTTTGAGAGTATAACACCTCCAAGATCGGGTCATACCCTGATCGGCAGCGGTTTCAATCACGAACTTCGTCCTAGCAAGAGCTTCGAATGGCACCAAGGCAATAGCCTTTGCGGTTGTCAGGATCACAAACTCCTTTTTGTATTTAATACTTAGGGAGGCCACAACTCTTTCGAACTTATCTTGGGAAATCGGAGTTATAACTTTGGTCACACATCAATCTTCATCCGTCTCTATCATATTGGCGCCTCCATGATTTCGCAACGGACTGGTTTTTACATTGCGTGAGACTTTTTGAAGAGAAACCACCTCTTGGTCGATCAGATCTTACATCTTGTGCTTGAGGTTTATGCAGTCCTCGGTATCGTGTTCGACACTGTTAGAGTGATATGCCCACCTTTGATCGGGCCTATAGAATTTGGAAATAGTATCCATCGGCTTGGGCCCTACCGGGTGGATGTATCCAGCCACAGCCAGTCACTTGTACAACTTTGTTCGGCTTTCGGCAAGCTCAGTAAAGTTCCTGGGAGGCTTCTTCTCAAATCTGGGTCGAGGTGGATTATAACTGCCTTGTGGTGGAGTAGGCACCTGTTGATAACTTCTTGTATTTTGACGGGCGGCTTGGTTTCTGGGATAAGGATTTGTTTGGTAATTTGGTGATGGAGCTTGGTAGTTCGAGGAGGCATTTTAGTTTGACTTGATATACGGAGGGGGTGCTCTGTAGCTCTACTGTACATTGGTATTATTGGGAGCAATATTTTTGTAGACTGGTGATGGAATTTTGTAAAGTGGAGGGGGACTTTGGTAAAGAGGATGTGGATTTTGGTAACTTGGAGGGGTATTTTGGTAGGTTGAGGTAGTATTTTGGTAAACTGGAGGAGGTTTATTTTGATGAGTAGCTTGCGCGTAGCAAGCCTTTTAAGAGTTCTGGGAAGGTCGTGGATGACCTTGGGAGGATGATGATCTTATGCGGGTCTTCCTCCCTTCATAAGAGACAAGAACAATTTCTTCTCTCTTTTTTTTCCCAACAATCTTGATGATCTGGGCAATGCGGCAACGCAGGCTATTTTCCCAGTTTTCAAACCATCTTTGATAGTCTCACCAACCTTGACTATATCGGAAAATTTTTCTCCAACGAGCAACATGATTCTATCATAAAATTCAGGCTCTTGCACCCACATGAACACTTCCACTACTTCTTTCTCGGACATGGATGACCTTACCCTTGCAGATTCCTACCTCCACTAGTAGGCGAACTTTCTGTAACTCTCAGTGGATTTCGCTTCATTTTTATCAAAGAGTATCAATCTGGAATGATTTCTATGTTGTAAGAAAACTTAACAATAAAGTTTTTGGCCAGGGCGTTCCAGCTGGGCCATTGCCTTGTTCGTGGGAGGTGAACCATTCGAGAGCCTCCCTGCAGAGACTTCAGCTGAAGAGCCACATCAACAGAGCTTCATCCCTACCAACTTCAACAAGTTGGCCGCAGTAGGCTCTCAGATGAGCCATAGGGTTTCCCACTCCTCCTAAAGTATCAACCTTTGGGATCTTGAACACTTCTGGATGGTCTAGATTTGGATCAATGCATAAATCCTCATAGTTAAGACCAGTGGCATCAGGGATGGTTTGGAACTCTTTCATGACTTTCATTTATCTCTTCTTTTATATCAACCTTTGCTTCTTCTTTTGCTCTCCATTCTCTTTCCTGTTCCTCGAAATGGTCTACATCAAAATCGTGCACATCATGCTCAGTCGAGATGGGAATTTGGAAA